AGTCATAGATTTATTCATAGATCCAGTCAAAGATGTATTTTAGTCATTTCTGGTTTAAATTGAGATCCCTTCCCTTTATAACTCACTTATCCTCCGCCATTCCCAAGTCAAGGGTCGTATATACTGACCCAATAGCATATCTTGAAAACTAGAGCCAATCAACAATTTTAAGCATCGTTTTCGTTCTCAGTGATCCAGAATTAGTAAAGTTTGACTACATTTATTTCAGAAGCATTTTGGCTGTAGAGCAGTGTAATCATGACGTGAGCCATGCCCTGTCACTCATTCCCAGCAGCTGGCAAACAGAGGCTAGGGACAGCATTCCTGTCCATTCTGGCTAATGGCCATTGATGGACCTAGCCTCCATGAATTTATCTAGCTCTTTTTGCAACACTGTTATGGTCTTGGCCTTCACAACATCCACTGGCAAGGAGTTCCACAGATTGACTGTGCGTTGTGTGAAGAAATACTTTCTTTTAGTTGATTTAAACCTGCTGCCTATTAATTTAATTTGGTGACCCCTGTTTCTTCTATGAGTAGTAGTAAACAACACTTCCTTATCTACTTTCTCTATACCAGTCATGATTTTATAGACATCTATCATATCTCCCATTAGTCGTCTCTTTTCCAAGCTGAAAATCCCAGTCTTATTAATCTCTCCTCATACGGAAACAGTTCCATACTGCTAATCATTTTTGTTGCCCTTTTCTGAACCTTTTCCAATTCCAATACATCTTTTATTTGAGATGTGGCAACCACATCTGCACACAGTATTCAAGATGTGGGCATACCATGGATCTAGCTATCCCTTTCTTAATTATTTCAGCATTCTGTTTGCTTTTTTGACTGCCGCTGCACATTGAGTGGATGTTTTCAGCGAACTATCCACAATGATTCCAAGATCTCTTTCTTGAGTGATAATAGCTAATTTAGACCTCCATCATTTTATATGTATAGTTGGGATTATGCTTTCCAATATGCATTACTTTGCATTTATCAACATTAAATTTCATCATGGTGGATTCTCCATCAGTGACCATTTTTAACTCAAGATAGGCTGCTTTTCTAAAAGCTCTGCTCCAGAAAATGTTTTGGGGACATTCTGTGGCCTCTGTCCTACAGGGGGGGTCAGACTAGATTATCACAATGGTCCCTTCTGACCTGGGAATCTCTGAACCTTCCACTCATTTTGGGAGGGCCCCAGCACATTTGAGAGGCCCCAGTTCCCTTTGTGTAGCACTAATGGCAGGCATTCCCATCTCTGTGAGAGGCTGTGATGCTGTGCGATTGACTATGACCATTTATATAATTGATATTGCCACTGTTAGACAATTACAACAAATATTGTACAACGTATGTCACGTAAGGTGTCAGTGGAAAAGTTATGATTTGCTAAGTATGATTATCCTGTGGGTATGCATGCACAATTTGTGTATCTGAAGTTATGAATATTGACTATTCATGCATGTGTGTTGTCCGGGTAACAGCCACCAGATAAAATTTAAACTGAGATCAGGCCTCTTTGTGCTGATGTCCCATCAAGGACACACAGCTCTCACAATGGGCCATAGAAGAAACTTCTTCTGCTCTGATAGCGCTTCCTACAGAGGGAGGCTTCAGCCAGAACATGGGCAATGGCTGTCCCTGTGGGTCATCCAGTATCTAAGGACATGGGATATGCTCATGTGACCCTGGACTCCATCTTGGGCCAGTAACTTTCCATGCACCTGTGCTGTGAGCTTTGTTTGAGACAGTAGATTTCCAGGCAAATGGCAGAGGAGCTAAAAGATCCCTGCGATATCTCCATTTGACCCTCCATTTCCTGCCCTGATTCTCTGGACTGTGGATTTACAATTCAAAGGAGCATTTTGAATTATGGACTGAGGACCTTCCAATCTTTTGGAAGTTACCAGAGAGACTTTACAAGCCATCAGTCTGTTCCATCACTGCTAGAAACCTGATAAAAGGACTTTGCAATCACTTCTATGTATATAATCTGTTAAACATTATTAATTCTCTTCTTTTCTTTTATAATTAAATCTTTAGATTTGAGTTACTACAGGATTGGCACTAGCATGATTGCTGGGTAAAATCTGGGTTATATGTTGACCTGGCTGTGTGGTTGATCGCTTGGGATTAAAAGGACCCTTTGTTCGATGAAATTGGTTTTCAGTAACCACTCATCATAGAGTCCAGTGCCTGGGTGGTGAGCCAAGTGCAGTGATGCCTAAGAAGACTGCATCTTTCACTTCCTGTTTATCAGTGTGGTGAGACAGAAGTTACTTTGATTACTGGCTTGATATATCTAATGAGAAAACAACCACCAATCTGGAGTGAGTCTGCCCTATTTCTCCACAGTCTGTCCTGAATTTGACATACTCAGCTGTGACCCACTGGGGCACATAGACAGAGGCACCATTTACTCTAGACTCCCAGAGCTGTTAGTTCCTGCAATACCAGCCCAATGAGAAGAGGAGCATGCTGGGGGCAGAGCTGCAGGAAAGTTAGCCCCTGCTACCAGAGGCCCTGCTTCCCAGCCTGGCTGACTGGCCCGACCCTGGGCTGACCCCAGCCACCCTCAGCTGCTGGCTGGCCCGAGCTGCCCTTGGACACTCCAGCCCCTGGTCACCAGCCCGAGCCCCAAGCTCCAAGCCGCTGACTGAAGCTGAGTCTCCGTCAGCTTCAGGGAAGAGGGGGAAGCATGGGCGAGGCCACAGCCTTGGTTAGGGGAGACTTAGCCTCCCCTGGCCTTCCATACTCATTGCCCATGCCAGTGGGCCCCCAGGTGGCACAGCCCCATCCATCATGGGAGAGCCCCACCAGCATAGGGTGGGCATCACCCTCACAGCACCTGTGATCATGGGGAAACTTCAGCCTCCACTGCTGGCAGTTCTTTCCCTTCTCCGTCGTGGACTGTATGCCCCGGTAGCTCCTCCCATCTGCCCTAATGCAATTCTGCATGTAATCTGTGGGTGAAAAGGGTGCCCCCGTGAGCCCAGGGATGGCTGCCTTGTGGAGAATCTTTGTGGGGAGAGCAGCCAGCGCTCAGCATGAGTGGCTCCTGCAGCTCTACAGCAGCTCCAGCCAGCAGTGCGGAGCAGACAGCCATCACCCCGTAGCAAGCGTGCTGGGGAGCTAGAGAGCTAGGGCAGAACTGGGCAGCTTCCCTGCAGTCGGGAGCCCGGGCCGGGGCACTCTGAGCACAGAGCCAGACACTGGAGCACTGGTGGCTTGAGAGAGCTGGCTCCTGTGGAGTGCAGAGATGGCCAGTTTGGGGGTCCAGGAGGTCACTGCCCTAGGAGAGGCTGGCACGGGGTAGGCAGGGTGGCAGGAGTCAATGACTGTAAGGTTGAAGCCCAGCAGCCTGGCAGCTGTGAGCATGGCCGGGCGTGTTGTCATACAGCACAGACGGCCATGCCCTCTCCCAGGCCGTGTGAGCCGTCAAGTGCCTGCTCTGGAAATACTGCTGCCCTCACTCTGCCCTCTTACCTGAGGCTCCCCTTCGCTCACTGCAAACCCTCTGCTGGGCTGGGAGCTGTCCTCAGCTGGGCTTACTCTGCAGCCGGACACACAGGCAACAGACAGGCACTGTTGTGTCAGCCTCCAGGGCAAAGCCAGCCCAGGGTTGGCTCATGGTAGGAAGCACCTGGTTGGCAAAAGCCAGCAGCGGGATCCTGGAGTTCGATTTGATCAGCCCGAGGTCAAACTAGGCGAAAACACTGCTGCCCCTGCCCTTCACCCCTTGCCCTTGTCCCCACCCCCCCTACAGCCCTGTCCCTTGGCCTCGGCCACCCTGCACTCCCCCATCACTTGTCCCCACCCCCTGCCTTACACACTTTTCCCGCCTGCCCTCACCCCCTGCCCTCATCCTCACCCCCCACCCTACACACTTTCCCGTCCTGCCTCATCCCCTGCCCTCATCCCACCCCCCACCTCTGCCCCTACCACCCCCATCCCACTCCCCGCCCTACAACCTTGTCCCTCTGGCTCTCACCCCCTGCCCTTATCTCCACCCTACACCTCTGTCTCTGGACCCCTTGCCCTCATCCCCACCCTTGCCCTACACCCCTGCCCCTGGGCCCCACTAACCTTGTCCCCTGCCCTTGTCCCCACACCCTGCCATAGTCCCCATCCTCTGCCCTACACCCCTGCCCCAAGCCTCCTTGCCCTCATCCCCAACACCCGCTATATACCCCTGCCCCTGGCCCCCCTGACCACGTCTCCACCTCCTGCCCTGATCTCCACATCTGTTGCTGTTCCCCACCCCTCGTCCCCTGCCCTATACCCCTGCCCTCATCCCCGCCCCCTGCCCTACACCTCTGCCCCATCTCTCCCGCTTCTCACCCCCTGCCCTCGTCTCTGCCCTCCTCCACCTCCCTGCCCTTCACTCCACCCCGCCCCTCACCCCTGCTCTTCATCCCTGCCCTCGTTCCCACTCCCTGGCCTTCATCCCTGCCCCACCCCTCACTCCTGCCCCCACCTGCCTTTCTTCTGGTAGAGGTCATAGTGGACGTTCCTCTGAATGTGGGTTTGTGCTGAGTGCTGGGTCCATGGCAGCAGCTGGCAGCTATGGCGCTGGTGGTTGTAGTGAAAGGCCCTGAAGATCAAACCCAAGAGTCTCATCCAAGCTCAGAGTGGACCACAAGTTCCCAATCCCTGACAGACCCCCCACCTCATCCTCAGGGGCTGGGACAGAGCCAGTGCCTCAGCTCATGTGCCCTCTCCAGCACCTTCCATCCCCAGAGTAGGAGTCATCACCCATGCCTGGCTACAGCTAGCGAACCTGGGGGAGTTCAGAGCAAGGTGACAGAGTCCTCCCGCACCCCGGCTCCAGCCCTCAGCTCTCCCCCACCCCAGCTCTGCCCCCGCCCCGACTCTGGCTTCTGGCTCCTCCCCCTCCCCGGCACCGGATCCCAGCTCCTCCAGCACCCCGGCTCCATTCCCCAGCTCCTGGGGCTGCAGTGGGGCGGGGCTGGAATGGGGCAGACTGTGTGTGGAATAGGGTGTGGCCATGGGGGGAAGGGGCAGAATGGGGGCGGGACTACAGGCGGAAAGGGTGGGGATGGGTCCAGTGTTCCCTCTATTTCCCACGCATGTGCGGGATGAATTTTGTTATGTGGAAGCAAAAGTCGATGGGAACATGGGAGTCAGTGACCATGAGATGGTCGAGTTCAGGATCCTGACAAAAGGCAGAAAAGAGAGCAGCAGAATACAGAGCCTGAACGTCAGAAAAGCAGACACTTTGACTCCTCATGATCCCCTGGGAGAATAACATGAGGGGGAAAGGAGTCAAGGAGATTTTAAAGAATTTTTATTTTTTAAAGATTTTAAAAGAATCTGTATTTTAAAGAATAGTTACTGAGGTTGCAAGAACAAACCATCCCGATGTGCAGAAAGAATAGTAAATATGGCAGGCGACCAGCTTGGCTTAACAGTGAAATCCTTGCTGATCTTAAAAACAAAAAAGAAGCTAATAAGAAGTGGAAGATTGGACAGATGACCAGGGAGGAGTATAAAAATATTGCTCAGGCATGCAAGAAGGAAATCAAGAAGGACAAATCACACCTGGAGTTACAGATAGCAAGAGATTTTAAGCATAAAAAGAAGGGTTTCTATAGGTATGTTAGCAACAAGGTCAGGGAAAGTGTGGGCCCCTTACTGAATGGGGGAGGCAACTTAGTGACAGAGGATACGGAAAAAGCTAATGTACTCAATGCTTTCTTTGCCTCTGTCTTCACGAACAACGTCAGTTCCCAGACTACTGCACTGGACAGCACAGTATGGGGAGGAGGTGACCATCCCTCTGTGGAGAGAGAAGTGGTTCGGGATTATTTAGAAAAGCTGGATGAGCACAAGTCCATGGGGCCGGATGCACTGCATCTGGGGGTGCTAAAGGAGTTGGCAGATGTGATTGCAGAGGCATTGGCCATTATCTTTGAAAACTTGTGGCAATCAGGGGAGGTCCCGGATGACTGGAAAAAAGCTAATGTAGTGCCCATCTTTAAAAGGGGAAGGAGGATTGGGGAAACTATGGCCAGTCAGCCTCACCTCAGTCCCTGGAAAAATCATGGAGCAGGTCCTCAAGGAATCAATTTTGAAGCACTTAGAGGAGAGGAAAGTGATCAGGAACAGTCAGCATGGATTCACCAAGGGCAAGTCATGCCTGACTAACCTAATTGCCTTCTATGAGGAGATTACTGGGTCTGTGGGTGAGGGGAAAGCAGTGGGCATGTTATTCCTTGACTTTAGCAAAGCTTTTGATACGGTCTCCCACAGTATTCTTGCCAGCAAATTAACGAAGTATGGGCTGGATGAATGGACTATAAGGTGGATAGAAAGCTGGCTAGATCATCGGGCTCAATGGGTAGTGATAAATGGCTCCATGTCTAGTTGGCAGCCGGTATCAAGCAGAGTGCCCCAAGGGTCGGTCCTGGGGTCGATTTTGTTCTATATCTTCATTAATGATCTGGAGGATGGCGTGGATTGCACCCTCAGCAAGTTTGCAGATGACACTAAACTGGAAGGAGTTGTAGATACGCTGGAGGGTAGGGACAGGATACAGAGGGACCTGGCCTCCGCAGTCCGGGGCTGGGCTGCGTTGGGGCCACGGAATAGGCGACTCTCCCCACTGCAGCCCTGAGCACCTGTGCAGCGATTAATATGATGTTGCATGGTCGCAGAGCTTAGAGGGAATTTACGAGGGCTCCCACACACTTTCTCTGGCCCAGGGCCCCAAGAAACTTTAATCTGTCTCTGGAAGGCCCACCCAAACTCGGGAGCCAGCTGGCTTTGGCCAGTGGGAAAACAAAGGGCTGAAGAGAGACACCAGGTGTTTTGCCCGGGAAAGATGACAAAGGACGGCGGAGGGGCTACTAGGATCATCCGAGGAATGGATAACCTGTCTTATGAAAGGAGACTCAAAGAGCTTTAGCCTAACCAAAAGAAGGCTTAGGGTAGATACGATTGTTGTCTATAAATATATCAGGGGGATAAATACTAGGGAGGGAGAGGAATTATTTAAGCTCAGTACCAATGTGGACACAAGAACAAATGGATACAAACTGGACATTCGGAAGTTTAGACTTGAAATTGTTGAGTAGTTGCTGAGGAGTGAGGAAACTGAGGCACAGACCTGAGCAAACTGTCACTTCCTTTTTCAGACTAAGCTCCTTTAGCAAGGTCCCTCTCTTATAGAATACTTGATAATGTCCTGTAACTTTTAAGTTAAGAATCGTGCTTAGAATAACTGTAGGACCGTGCAATAAGGAGTTAAGAGTTCTGCCTTAAAAGTAAAGATTTTAGAGCAATACTGTGACTGCATGAAAAGGCTTTTGGTAGGGCTCATTAGTGAGATAAAGGAAATAGGGATGGCAAAAAAAAAAACCTTAAGCTGCTCACTTGAGACAGGAGAAAACCAACAGGTTAGAGAGATGGATAATAGAAGAAGGGAAAAACCTTCAGCCAGACTCCCCAAGGTTTCCATTCTTCCCCTAGTATTTGTCATGCCCACGTCACTAAAACGTGGAACCATTTGCACCCTGACCACCACTCACATGTAATTTCACATGTGGATGACATTTTAATACACACCCCCACGTCGGAAATGAACAGGGAAATCATCAGAGAGGTGTTCATTATAGTGCGGGAAACCGGATTTAAGGTAAATAGAGAAAAGGCTCATAGAATCATAGAATAGAATCATAGAATATCAGGGTTGGAAGGGACTTCACTGGATTTCTTTTGGCCCAATCCTCTAATTTGTCTAGGTCCCTTTGTATCCTATCTCTACCTGCCAGCGTATCTACCACTCCTCCCAGTTTAGTGTCATCTGCAAACTTGATGAGAGTGCAATCCTCCATCCTCCAGACCATTAATGAAGATATTGAACAAAACCGGCCCCAGGACCGACCCTTGGGGCACTCTGCTTGATACCGGCTGCCTAGACATGGAGCCATTGATCACTACCCATTGAGCCCGACGATCTAGCTAGCTTTCTATCCACCTTATAGTCCATTTATCCAGCCCATACTTCTTTAACTTGCCAGCAAGAATATTGTGGGAGGCACTATCAAAAGCTTTGCTAAAGTCAAGGAATAACACATCCACTGCTTTCCCCTCATCCACAGAGCCAGTTATCTCGTCATAGAAGGCAATTAGGTTAGTCAGGCTGACTGTTCCTGATCACTTTCCTCTCCTCCAAGTGCTTTAGAATCGATTCCTTGAGTTCCTGCTCCATGATTTTTCCAAGAACTGAGGTGAGGCTGACTGGCCTGTAGTTCCTGGATCCTCCTTCTTCCCTTTTTTAAAAATGGGGACTATATTAGCCTTTTTCCAGTCATCCCCCAAATCACGTGAATTTTCAAAGATAATGGCCAATGGCTCTGTAATCACATCCGCCAACTCCTTTAGCACCCTAGGCTCAGTTAGTACAGCAACAAGTGAAATACTGTACCTGGGTATGTGTCTTGGGGAGGATGGCTTGACTTCTGATCAACAAAGGGGAAAAATGATAGGAAAGGAACCTGATCCTACCGACACGCACTCCCTATGAGCTCTCTTGGGAACTTTTAATTTCTGCAGAGAGTTCATTTAAATGTTCTTTGACA